AGCACTTCATTCTTTCTGAGGAAGCACAAACAGCGTAACCAAAGTCAGCCGCTCTAAACTTGAATATTAAATTTAGCTCCTCACAGCCGTAAACAACTGCCTTCGAAAGGAAACAACAAATTTAAGGTGGTGATTTATAGTCCAGAGGGATCGGTTTAATGGGTGACATGGATTGCCCGTGCCTCTCCTGTTCTCTTTGTAGTGTTTCATTACAAATAAACTGATAAACGGAGGAACTTGGGACAGGATGATCTTTTTGGCAGGATTAACTGGCGGCACCAACTGAACAAAGGTGTCCTGAATAGCCACACCTTGCTCTACAACCATGCTGACTTTGTCAACACTATCCAGCAAGATGAGGACTCCATTGTTCATTCTGGAAGCAGACTTCACACTTTCATAGCTGACGATTCTGTAATCCTCCTAGGAGCAATCCAACCCTGGACAAAGTTTAACTCTGCGTCGGAGTGTGAGCTTCTCCAGCCCCACAATCCAAACTCCCAAGTCGGCATGACCCCGGTGAAAACCGGGTGTCACCACTCAGGAAACCACCCGCCACAAATCACACAAACAGCAAAGCAATGAATAAACAAACAAACAAACAAACAAACAAAAGTCCTCCACTCTCAGGGAGAGTGAGAGAGAAAGAGAAAGACAACAAAACATACAACCAGCTGCTGTGTCTGTACTAAAGGAACTGTTTCTGGTGGGCAAGCTGTATGAACCTATAGGAGCTCCCGCAAATGGACACAGGGAAGAGAAAAAGAACAAAAAAGCAACATCCTGCTCTCGGTGCTCATCCTGCTCTCTAAGCGGAGGCATTGTTGGAGGCACGCAGCCTTCAGACTCCTCAACCTGACACACAGATACAGATTTGTGTTGTATAGGAGATATTCCGTCTGATAAAGGCTCCCATTTCTCCAATGAAGAGTTAGAAGCTGAAAGAATGTTTGGGATGAAACAATCGTTTGGTACTGTTCACCATCCAGCTTCTCAGGGATTATTGGAAGGGGCTGATTAAAGATGGATTGGCTATAGTCTGCGCACAGAGTAATTTTTTTTATTCATGTTTTTATTCACGTGACAAGGTCAAGTACAAACAATGAAAATAATGAAAATAAGGATTTTCTTTTTCATCTTTACAAAAACAACAACCCCTCATTCCCGTCCCTTTCCCAGCCCTCCCCAGTCCTACAAGATTATGCTACAGATCAGTAATAACCCACATCCTTCCTTCTTACCGTACAAAGACGTGAATAAAAAAGTATATAGACAATGAAAAAAGAGAGAGCAGCTAGTACAACACAAATAAATAAACAGAAAACACCACAAAACAAAACTGAGTGCACGGTGCGGAGAGAATAAATTAACCTGGATTAATGCAGTTTAATCTGAGATCCAGCCCAAATGCAACAATGAATCAGACTGACAGGAGGAAAAATGCCCTGTCCATTCACTGCGGCACCCTCAGGACCTGCTCCTGTGTTGTTACAGCATAAAGATCTA